ATCTCATCTAGAAAAAAAAAAAAAAAAAAAAGTCTGGGCCCGATCTCGTCTGATCCCGGAAGCTAAGCAGGGTCGGGCGTCGTTAGTACTTGCATGGGAGACCGCCTGGGAATACCAGCTGCTGTAAGCTTTAGCATTTTCTTCACTAATTTTTTTTTTTACAGGAAAAAAAAAAAAAAAAAGTCTGCTCATGCATAACTTATTACCACCCAGGTGGCTGCCAAGGTGTTGCTATGCAGTTGCCATGGAGGTCTGATTGGTTTGGTGCATTTCAAAGTTGTTGCTATGGTGTTCTGGATAGTTGCTATAGTTATATAGTTCAAAACTATCCATATAATATTACAATACAGTCCAGTACAATGAAACATGCATATGCATGTTTGTGTGCACGTGGGGCTTTATATTCTCCTGAAATCACGAGTATCAGCCAAATGCTTCCTAAATCACACGCTCATAAAAACAGGAGAGTGAGCGAGAGCTGCATTAAAGAGAACAGCCCTCCTCAGAGTATTCCTGTTAAAGATTTATCATCGAGTCCTGAGTAAATCAGGATTGAGTGAGAGAGATGCACTAGTGTGTGTTTTCTGTCTGTTTGATGGAAAGTATTTCCAAGGCCAAAGGTTAAAACAACAGTATCGCTGTCCCATGAGAACGAAACTCTGAAGGGGGTTTGTTCTCTTCAGAAGGTCACAAGACAAAGAGCAACTACAGTCTGTGTGATTTACAGGTTCACACAACAGTGAACATGTTCTGAACGAATGCCCGATTTCTGTTTGGTTTCCGTCGCTGTGGACTCAGGTGCTCTTCCATCTCACACACACTTCACTGTCCAAACTCTTCTCCCAGATGACTTCTGTCCATCCGCCAGTTTCCTGATTTACTGTGTTAATCACTATGATTTTCTCCTACAGCCATGATGAAGACCCTGCGGGAGCCAAAATGGAGTTCAGGCTCACAGATGCCTTGCAGAAACACACGAACATGTGAAACTGCAGAACGTTTACAGCACAGATGGTTCAGAAGAGAAGAGGGAATCCAATCTCATAAGATAGCATGATAGACCGACAGATAGATAGAACAAAAGCACGACAGAATGATAGAGAACCGAACGATAGATGCAGAACGACAGACAGCTAGATAGAGTATCAGCGCGTTTATGAGCGAGCTGATTTTCTCACACATCCTCCTCTATGACATACACTCTCCCCGTTACCATAGCAACCATCCCAGCACAGCCAGCTTTGCCATGGCAACAAGAACACGTGTGGTACAGGCAGTCATCCGAGTTAATCTAATCAACATCACTGTCTGAGCAGAGAGAGAGAGAGAGAGAGAGAGAGAGAGAGAGAGAGAGAGAGAGAGAG